ACGTTTCGGAGGCAACACAAGTCTCCGTCATCAGGTGTTGACCTTCTTTCAGCTTGTCTGCGATCGGTATCACTCTTGCATTTTTTCCCAACCCTTCACGTTATTATCGATTTGCACCATTGCCGTTGCTGTGCAAATCCACCATCGGGGGGTTATAAGGGTTGAAATAGATTTTTGGTGCTCGAACGTGACAAAAAATGGAGCTCGATTCGATTAGCGATTCCATGAACATTGTAATCAATAATTTATTCCAAAAAAAGGACCTACCGTCCTGCGTCACACGTGGGAACAGAGGTTTCAAGTAATAAATATATAAATGTTTATTGACCGGTTTCTTCGTTTTCTCATCCGCCCGCCCACTGCGCTGCCCAGGAGCTGTTCCCGAGGGAGCAAGAGGAGGAGGAGGATGAGACGGAGGGGTCGGGGGGAACCACCGCCCCATCGTGAAGCGCATCGCCAAGGAGGAGTTCCTGCTCACTGGGCCCGGCTCGCTCGGTCAGTCTGCCCGCCTGATTCATCAGCCCATTGTGGCAACATCCGTTGTTGTACACTGTGCCGTGTTCCCTGCCTCTTCACCAACCCGCACTGACAAGCGTGGTGTGAAGTACAGTCGGCTCTCGATTATCCGGAGTAAGGTGGGGCCAGGCGAGGTTTGGCCTGGATAAAACAAAGACACGAGTAATAAAAAAACTTCGTAAATTGGGCTCTCCTTCCCCTCCCTCCCGTGCCTAACCCCTACAGACAAACTCCTCCTCCCCCCCCCCTCCCGTGCCTAACCCCTACAGACAAACTCTTCCCCCCCCTCCCGTGCCTATATAAAGCCACAACAGCAGATAATTTTTCTCACCTGAAGACGGTCGCTTGTGTTGCGACCGAAACTTCGTGTTTTCTTTTATTATTTTTTCTAACTACGTGACTTTACCGAAAGAACCAGAGTATGGATTCCTGCAGTCACAAAAGCTTCAAATCAAGATAAAATTAGGCTATTAAATTATTGTTGCAACAACATGGAAATACTGTGATATATAGTGTATGATATACAGTCCACGATAATTGCTTTCTCCATTTGCCAGCATATACAGAGCAGAGCGAAAATTGCGCTGTCAGGAATCGCTGCGGTGCCTAACTTGCACAACAGTTGGTGGTGTGACTTTCGAGAGAGTGTGCAGCCGGTGCAATTGCACCGGAGCCCACAGGCCGAGGGTGAACCCAGATGCTGAGATATGAAGAGGTTGTTGGGTAAATTGGACCGGGTCACCGCATTGTATTCCTTGCCGACGCCAACCTACTCTTCGCCGCTGTCCGCAGGAATGTTCGTGACGTCGGAGGGTGTGTCGCGTCGGCCCCGGTCCGCTGGGGTGATGGCGTGCGCGGCGCCGCGCTGGCACCGCCGTACCTGCTGGCGCTGGGGGCCCAGCTCCTCACCGTGCACAGCCTCCTGGACCAGCAGCTCAAGCAGAGCATCCCCTTCACGGGCGGGCACTGCCTCGACAGCCTGGAGGGTACGTTGCCCAACGACTCGTGTCTACGCCCCCACAGCCAAGCACCCACATCTTCCCCGTTCTTTCGACGGGTTGTTGACATGAACAACCGCGCCTCCGATCAGCATAGTTGGCTACGTACGTTTGCGAAAGAAGTTCAACATGCGTACGTACATCGTTCAGACTGTTAAGACAAGTGAGTGGGCTTGGGTAGGACACATCGCTAGAAGGGATGTTGGCTGTTGGGCGAGATTGAGTACGGGGTGGCAGGCGAGGAGTGGAACGAGTCCGAGAGGATGACCACTGGAGAAATGGAGCGATGAAATCAGCTTGTGGTGCGTGGGTGCCAAGTGTATTGAAGGTGTTGGAGTGAGTAAACGTGTTTCAGTGAGTGTTCGTGTGTCTAGAGCCTAATCTTTATTTGAAGCTTTCGTGACTGCAGGAATCCATATACCTACGTGACTTTACCGAAAGAACCAAAGAGTATGTCTAGAGCCTGTTTTGGTAATGCATTGCTGAAAGAGGCCACCCCACGGCCATGTGGATCATGGGAATAATTTGAGCACCGTTCATTGTGCTGGTCATTGTGAGTTGGTGAAAGAAAGGTGGCCGGGGCCAGTTCATGGGTGCCACGGTTGCGAGATGTTAACTACCTCGCCTGGTATACAGGAGGTCGTCGGTCGATCCCGACCCTAACGCCTGTTGATTTATTTATTTTGTTTCTATTAATTTAATTTTTTACCTACGTGACTTTACCGAAAGAACCTAAGAGTATGAATCCTTGCAGTCACGAAAGCTTCAAATCTAGAATTAAAGTGATACCAATTTTATCGACCCTGGAAGGATGATGGGCCGAGTCAATCCACCCATCGAGGATTTGAGCTCGCGACATTCTTATCGCGAGCTGCTCTCTCTACCCATTAAACACTTCCTCGCCAGAGGTGCCTGGGTAACCGGTATTGTGCGCCCGATAGTACGGGCGTGACGAATTGGTTGCGGTGACGCCGGGGGCGCCATTGCGTGCTCGCGGTGCAGGGAAGCTGCTGGCGTGCGCGGGCGGCCAGCTCTTCGCGCTGGAGCCGTGCTCGCTCGAGATGCCAAGTGGGGGACCTGCTGGCGGGAGGCCGCGTCGACCAGGCGCTGGAGCTGGCGAGGGCGTCGCGTCACACGATGCCCCGCGACCGCTACGCGGTGAGCTGCTCACGAGTGAACGCACCATCGAACGCACCATCGCACGAACGCACCATCGCACGCACGCGGCGACACGGCCGAGTGGTTGCACGCTTGCCCGCTCGCTCGTTGTACTCTGTTGAGCTTGAACTTCTTTCGCACCGTACGTAGCCAACCATGATAACACTGGTCAACACACTTTTTCTGGCATAAGGTATTCCAACGGTTTTAATGTAATTTTGGGGTGCTGATTCCAAATCTGGAATCAGTTTTTGTCTATCACATCAGGTTTTTGAGATCTCAAATATTGCATTTTCAATAAAAACTGCAGAAGAAAAATATTAAATAAATGTGGATATCTACATAAAATTATATTATAAACACACTATCCTAAAAATACAGCACCATATTTTAACACTAAAGGAGTCACTGGCTCGCAACAACTTGCAATCATATGTGACAGAGTTAATTTCGGGTGAAATCAATGAAAATGGGGTATGCCAATAGCATAAAAATGAGATGTGATAGTGCAAATCTGAGATCAGATTTGGAATCAGCACCCTGAAACAACTGCAAAGTCCAGGCCAGAAAAAAATGTTTTTTTTTTTGTTGACCAGTGTAATCAGAGGGTACTCTCAGGTTAGAGCGCTCCGGTTTGTTGGGCTGCATATTCCTTCAATCTGCATCGACAAATGTGGCCCCCTTTAAGTCATAATTTCTCTCCAGTTTTACAGAGAAGATGCTGGAAGTTAGACACCACGTACTGATACGTTCCCGCTTGAATGCATATTCTTCTGATATATAAACAGACAAGGCTACGTGCATTCGACACATCCTTGTCTGTTTACATACAAGTACAATAGCCACCCTATATGTGTGTTTAAACGTTTCTAACTTAATTTGTCATTGTAATTTGATTTAAAAAATGAATCTGTCCGAGGCCAACTTCTGCGCATGGAAATGCATAATTTAACATTGGTTTAATTTTCGTGAAATATTTTCAATTCTTCACTCGGAGAACCCTGTAGAGCGGTAAATGCGCACTGCTCTGCGAGCCCGGGCACTCGACTTAAATTGTGGCGCGCGGGCAACATCAGTGACGAGAATAACTGAACCGGTTCCTGGGCCTCCCCCGAGGTCCACGCAGTCTGAAACGAGTACTGTGTGCACTTGCCCCAACATTCCGTTAAGGCTGTACGGGGATCGTGTGTGCTGCGCATTCCCAGTCGCTGTACGAGCGCGTGAAGCAGCAGGCGGGCTTTGTGGAGTTGGCGTTGGGCCGCCTCCCTGAAGCCACGGAGCTTTTCAGGTATCGGCAGTGCCGGATCAAGCTAGTGCGGGGCCTGTAGCAAATGTTTTAAAGGGGCCCTAAATAAAAAAAATACACAAATATTAAAACACACATTTTTTTACTTGCATAGTAAAGTAATTGTATTTTTTCATTTGCTATACAGCCAGATAATACGACAAATCGCTAACCTTAAACACCAAAGTCATTCATAAAAGTTGAAGGCGGTATAGTACTATAGTAATAGAGCAAGTGTAGATTCACTGAACCGGAATTCATAGCTTGAAAGCATTTAGCACGGGACCCTTGAAATTGCGGGGCCCATAGCATATGCAACTTTTGCTACTCGGATAATCTGGCACTGGGTATCGGACAAACTGAGTTAACACGGGAACAACAACAACAGCTGAGTGGTTGCTTGACTTACGTCAGAAACACCAAACCCAATGGCGTAGCGAGGTTGGCGTCAGCCTTGGTGCAAGCGGTGAAATGTGCCCTCCCTCCCTGCCCAATTTATCCCCCAATTATTAATAGCCAAGAGCGGGGGCCCCTCCATCCTGCGAGCCCCCGGTGCACACTTGATAGCCACAACATTGGAGGCAACGCTATTGGAGAGGTTCCATGTTCGTCTATGGGTTCCTACATAAGTCTGTGGGCAGGGTGACGTAGTGGTAACACTAGTACCTCGCAGTAAGAAGGACCTGGGTTCGATTCCTGAATTGGTTGCCTTTTGCGTGGAGTTTGTATGTTTTCTGCATGGCTTTCCTCCGTGTTCGCCAGTTCCCCCCACAAGCAAAAAACACACACTATAACTGCTATTGGCCAAACATCCCAATCCTGACAATTCGGTGATGAAATTATTAATTGAATTAATGGTTGTTGCAGTTAACTATTAATCGAACGTGTTGTTAAATTAACGAATGGTGGCTCGACAGGAGCGGCCGCCTGGACGTGCGCGAGCTCGCCTCGCTGGTGCCCGACCTCCTGCCGCCCTCCTCCTCCTTCTCGCGCACGCACCCCCCGCTGCACCCACACGCCGACCTCACCACGCTCACCGGGGGACGCCCCCACCTCGCCGCCTCCGTCCGCCGCTTCCTCGCCTCCCGCCTGGCGGAGGCGCGCTCCGCGGGGCCCCCCGACTCGCGCGCTGTCGTGCTCATCGGCGGCGGCGGGGGGGCTCTCCCCAGCCCCCCCCCGCCCGGCCCGCCGGGCTGGCGGGAGGACGTGGACACGGCGCTGGTGAAGCTGTACGCCGAGGAGGGGGACGAGCGGCTCTTCGACCTGCTGGCGGGCGGCGACTGCGCCGCTCACTTGCAAGACTCTGCCGCTCACCTGGAGCGCCTCGGCAGGTGAGTCTTCTTGAGTCCGTGTGCGCGCGTGTGTTTGTTTGTGTTTTGTCGGGAGTGGGGAGCGCTACCAACCTGGCGACCCGGGTTCGATTCCCGCTCACGGCCAACACCAGTGACAATTATTTGAACTGATCGTCTTAGCCTCAAATCAGTATCTGGTGCGGTGTGTAAACGTCGCCACTGGGGAGACAAAGGCGGTCGGGCGTGGTGCTGGCCACCCACCCCCTCGTGTACTGTTGCGGCCATCATAGGAGCTCGCAAACAGCACTTGCCCCAACAGTCTATTGAGGCTACAAGGGGGATCTATTTCTTTGTCGTGGGGAGACAAAGGTGGCCAGGCGCGTTGCTGAATACACCATCACCTCGGGCGCCGTGCTGCTCTTAATAGGAGCTCGCAAACAGCATTTTCTCCGACAGTCTGTTTAATGCAATACGGGGGCATCTGTGCGCCTGCACACGAGTTGATGAGATCCCTCCGTCCCTGTGGTGGTTATCTCCTGCGTGTGCACTGCAGGTATTTTGCACTCGGTCTGCTCTACCACCACCATCAGCAGGACGACGTGGCACTGCAGGTGAGGCCTCGCGGGATTGAACCTTCGCACGCCCACTGGGTCCACCCGCTAGCCAATGCCGGATTATCTTAGAAGCAAAAATAGTTACATGCTATGGGCCCCGCGCTTTTTAAGGCCCCGCGCTAAATGCTTTCAAGCTACAAATTCCGGTTCAGTGATTCTGCACTTGCTCTATTACTAAAATGTAATGTCTTTAATATGCAAGTGAACAGCCTGTGTAAGTCTACACAGGGGGGATCTTTTGTCTTCGTGTTCTCACCAGTACTGGGTGCGAGTGGTTGACGGGGAGCTGAGCGACGCATCGCGGCCCGACCTCTTCTCATTCGTCGTCGACTTCCTGAGCTACTGCCCGAGCGCCAAGCTGGTGTGGAGGCACTCCGCCTGGGCCCTGCAGCGCAGCGAGGAGGTGAGCTCACCGCCAGCGGCGGCGCGCGCGGCACACGCCGAGCGTCGTAGCTGTCGAGTGTGCAGGCGGTGGTGCAACTGCACTGGGGGCCCATGGTGCTCGGGTGGGGGGGAGAGGAGAGGATGGAGGGGGGCTACGAAGTTGGGGGAGGGTAGGCAAAGGAGAGTACTGGCAATCGGTCGTGGGTAGCGTAGGGCAGCGTAGGGCTGCGTGGGCAGCGTGGGCAGCGTAGGGCAGCGTGGGCAGCGTAGGGCAGCGTAGGGCAGCGTAGGGCAGCGTAGGGCAGTGTAGGCAGCGTAGGCATTTGCCTGTGGTTTTGGAGGGGCCGGCAATGTCAAGTTTGTGGGCCATCTCGCTCGGAGTGGGTAAGCCTCATGATGGCCACGGACCGTTGGAAATGTACGTATATATGTTGCACTTCTTGCGCACCGTAACGTAGTCAACCGCGCTAATCGAAAATGAAGTTGCGTGTCGCATGAAGTCGCGGTTCTGTGTGATGTGAAATCGCGGGCCGTTTGAATTTTAAATTGCGGGGCCGCATGATATGAAGTCACAAGCTGTAGGCTCCCCACCGCCTGCTCTGCACGCTTGACGACTGGAGCGTCGCCCGGTGCCGCGAATGAAAGGGGGCTCCATGTTGGCCGCTCAGACAGGAGTCCACATCTTCACCAAGCGGCCGTGGCGAGAGGAGGGGGAGGCGCGGGGGAGCGAGGAGCTGTGCCCCGACGAGGTGGTGCGGTTCCTGGGCCAGTTCCCGCGTGCCCTGATGGCCTTCCTAGAACACCTGGTGCTGGAGAGGCGGGTGCAGGTGTGATCGCACGTCCACGGCTGTGTGCAAGTGTGCATGCGTTGACTCGTGTGTGGTGAGCGGCAGTGCATCGATTGGCGCGCTACGAACCTGGCGACCCGGGTTCGATTCCCGCTCACGGCCAATACCAACACCAGTGACGATTATTTGAACCGGGACGCAGTATATTGACCCACCATTGGTGATCAGTGATGACTAGTGATGATAACAAGTATAACCCGTAAAAACAAAGTTTTTAACTCTAAATCCTTTATATGCGTGGCGGCTAGAGTCCTCTCGTCCTCTGGCTTGAGATGGCTGCCACCTATGGGTCAGATGATTGTCTGCAGTATTAAACAATTGGTAATTAAATATTTAATTTGTTTTCCCTAAACAGTGTAAAATTTTGGAAAAAAAATTTCACGAACATTAATTGTCTCGCACAACGAGTCTGTGTGCAAAATGTCAGCTCGATTGGATCACGGGAAGTGGGTTAAAAAACGACCGAAAGGTTTGCACGGTCGTAAGCAAGCAAGCACGCAAGCAAGCAAGCACGCAAGCAAGCAAGCACGCAAGCAAGCACGCAAGCAAGCAAGCGAACTTAATATAAAGGATTTAAAAATGGTAGTGATGATAGTGATGATGACTTTGCTGATGTAGATGATTGTGGTGGTGGTGGTGGTGGTGATGATGATGATGAAAATGGTGATTCTGATGAAGATACTAACTTTAATGACTGTGATGGCGATGGTGATGGTTTCATATGTCCGATGAAGAGAAACAATAGAGATTCAGTTCTGAGCTGATTCAGCCACTCAGTTGCTTTGTCTGAGAGTTGGGGAATTGCAGACACACTTACCTACCGAACTACCCACCAACTCACCCACCCATTATATTTATATTTGGGGAAGTGAAAAGTTTATCGCTGCACGGCTTGTTGTTCGAAGCTGCCAATCCAGTTTCACGCAGCCGTATTCAGGCAGTGTGGTGGTGGATTTACTGACGACCTGCGTGTTGTAGAAGCTGGGCAGTGTGGTGGTGGGTTCACTGATGAGCTGTGTGTTGTAGAAGCTGGGCAGTGTGGTGGTGGTGGCGATGGACTTGCTGAACAGGGTGTGTATTAGGCACATTGAATCCCAGGCGTTGGTTCACGCTGTGTCAACGCTGAAGTTCCCCTTGTGCAGAGTTGGTGCCGCGCATTTCCAAAGCGGCCGAGTTGTGGATCTCATGGCGCGGACGCGGATATTTGTGTTCACATCGTCGTCGATTGGAAGGAGATTTGGGCCGACATCCAATCGGTGCCGTCAACGGAGCAATACAGCATCGCGCCGAATATATCTGGCGGTGCGATATTTGACGGGACATGGTGGTGATGATGGTGATGATTTTGAAGATTGTGATGATGATAATGATGGCGGTGGTATTGACGATGATGTTGATGACGACGATGATGGTGGCGGTGTTAACTGTGATGATGGTGGCGACGTGGCCCAGGAGGAGAGGCATCACACGCACCTCGCCACACTCTACTTGGAGGACGTCCTCGACATTCTGTGCAACCATCAGCCTGACGACCACGGGGGGTCACCGGGTTTCACGGCGGGGTCACAGGGCGCCAAGCTGGCCGCGGCACGGGCCAAGCTGCAGCTCATGCTGCAGGAGTCGGAGCTCTACCGTGCGGAGTTCCTGCTCGGTGAGTGGTGGAGGTGGTGGTGATGGGTAGAGAGACACGGGGAGTGTGGGGACAGACACGGGGAGTGTGGGGAGAGGCTAGGAGAGTGTGGGGACAGACACTGGGAGTGTGGGACACGGAGTGTGGGGAGAGGCTAGGAGAGTGTGGAGGAAGACACACGTGCAGTGTAAAGTGGAGCCCAGGCAGGTGGCTTCATCCCTCGAGATGTTTGGAGTTAGATGGGGCCCAGCTCTTGACAGTGCTTGACCCCCTTTTAAAAGCAATCTCATGAAATACGCAATCTGGCCACCAAGCCTTTAATTCCCTATTTATATAATAATATATTGTCATTGTCGAAATACTGCTGGATAAACGCCTCCCTTCCCGTCCCCTCTACTCCCACCCTCCCCCCCCCCCGTCTCTCTGCTCTTCGACATCCTCTCCCTGTGCCCCTTCCCCTCCCTGCAGGGAAGCTGGGTGCCTCTCCGCTGCTGGCCGAGCGGGCCTTGCTGCAGGGCCGTCTGGGCGACCACGGCGGCGCCCTGCACACTCTGGTGCACGGCGCGCACGACCTCCCCGCGGCGCGCCGCTACTGCTCCCGCCACCCGGACCCGGCCCAGCGCCGCCGCCTCTTCCACCTCCTCCTCTCCGCCTGCCTGGTGCCGCCGACCGGGCCCTGCCAGTCCAACGGGCCGGAGCGCGGCGCCGCCCGCAACGGGACGGGCGCGGGGCCCGACGACGACGGCGCCTACGACGGGCACGACGGCGCTCGCCGTGCCGTCGAGACCGACGCCGTGGCCGTGGCGGACCTGCTGAACGGCGAGGCCCCCGAGTTCGAGGCGTCCGCCGTGCTGGCGACGCTGCCCGAAGGCTGGTCGGCGGGGCTGCTGGCGCCGTTCCTGCGCGCGGCGCTGCGGGGCAGCCTGCACGCGCGGCGCACCGCGCAGGCGCAGCGCGGGCTGGCGTGCGCACAGAACCTCGCGCTGCGCAAGGAGAAGGTGAGAGAATGTGTCCTTGTGTCCGTAACGGGGAGACGGTGCCGTAGCGGTTAGCCCGCTGGACTACTCGCTACTCACTAAGCACCAGGACCCCCTAGCCCCTACACACTAACCAATACCCCCTAGCCCAGGGGTCGGCAACCTACGGCTCCGGAGCCGTATGCGGCTCTTTACGGGCTGCTTCTTGATGATATGTACGTATGTACAGTATGTACTCAGATGCATTGCGGCTCTTGAAATACTGAATTTTTTACCGAATTGGAAAGAAATGGCTCTTCTTGTTATTTTGGTTGCCGACCCCTGCCCTAGCCCCTCACCCTAGCCCCTACACACAGCTGCTTACACGAGTCCCCGACACACTAAGCATGCTGGTCGCATTGTTAATGCGCACCATTTATTATGCTGCGCTCCGAACCTGGAGACCCGAGTTCGATTCCCGCTCGTGGCCAACACCAGAGACGATTATTTGAACAGGCCCTGGGCTTCTCCTAGATCGACTCAGCCTCAAATGAGTCCCTGGTGTGGTGTGTTAACATCGCCACTCAGGAGACAAAGGCGGTCGGGCGTGGTGCTGGCCACCCAGCCCTTCGTGTGCCGTGCCGGCCTTCATAGGTGCTCGCTAACAGCACTTGCCCTAACATTCTGTTAAGGTTTCTGAGGGATCTTTGTCTTGTGTGTCCATAACGGTGCGGGCTTTATGACTGTCGTAGAGATGATCCTGTATGATTCAAACTGTGCTAAAAAGTGGCATTGAGATCGGCTACCTACTTTATTAATTACCGGCCAAATTTATCCAAAGTTTTCCCAAAACTTGGAGACAAAAAACGAGAGCAAAAATAACTACTTTATTTACAAATATGCACACGCATTTTGCCCTCCCCTTTGGCTTCTGTCTTGCGAATCAAATACTTCCAAAGACGAGCGCAATTTCAAGCAGGTAGGTTTTGCGAGCGTCGTAGTTTTGGATGCGCGCAAGCGATCATCGTCCGTTCTCACTCGCCGTGCGGCGCTGTCCTCTGCCCATCCGTGCCTCCATCTGCCCCCCCCCCACACACCCACCGCCCCCCCCCCCCCGTAGGCCTCTCTGTGCCTGCGGCCCGTGGTGCTCACGGAGCGTACCATCTGCCCCATGTGCCAGGGGGTGTTCTCCGAACCCGAGTTTGCGCGCTACCCCAGCGGTGCGGTGGTGCACCCGGCGTGCGCCCGCCAGCGCTCGGTGTGCCCCATCACGGGCCACGTGTACTCGCCGTGACGGCGCCCACCCGCCCCGTCCGTCCGTCCACTCCATTGTGTCGTAAAACTTTAAAAACTATTGGCCAAGCCGCTGCTTGGCTGCGGCGTCGTCGGACCCAATTCGCCACGAGTCGAGGATTTCGCCAATTATTATTTTTTTTTGCGCGGAAACTTTGTGACAGAGCGAACAAGAAGACCAGGGCTTTAATGTCAGCTGGATCGGTTTGGGTCAGCGACCGGGGAAAAATGTTTCCACACCCGGCAACATCGCATCCAGGTATCCATCTCGCTGTGGCTGTGGTCGCTGGTCACTTGCACACCTGCTCCAGTCTGCCAGTGACCCGGAAAATATTCCATTAGGGGAATTAAGCCCTGAGAAGGACCCAACTGCGAATTCTACCCTGCCAAAAAATACTCGATTATGATGATGACGACGACGCGGGGCCTGAAGTCATGAATTTAAAGAAATGTCTCCCTCTTGGCGATGAACGGAAGGGTTTGCCCTCGCCGGAAACAAACCACGACCATATCCTCAATTAATGATTTTACTTTCCTAACCTTGGTTTTGCGATATATCCGCGAGCGACGTGTCGTGGGATCGCTCACCTGTGCATGCGGATGGGGGGCATGCCGCTAAGCGGTAGTCGCTGCTCGTAGGGACGCGCATATCATGAGAGCAGGGCTGGGGAATCTTTTCTTTGCCGAGGGCCAAATAGAACTGGCACATACATGTGGCGGGCAACAGCACTTGAAAAACACACACACCTTAGACATATATGTAATAATAGCGTACAAAAATAATTGAGGAACACCTATAATTTTAGAAACGCAGTGCTGCCAGGTGGAAAAATATTGCCCTCTAGTGCCCGATGAGATGCTTGCAGTAACAATGAATTGCGGGCCACTGTTCGGAGGTAGTTAGGCCCCTTTGGTGGCAGCCGGCCATATGAAACAAAGTAATGGGCTACGTCTGGGCTGCATCGGCCATAGGTTCCTCACCCCTGCTTATAAAGTAATTACCAGAGTGATTGTGGCAAATATAGGACAGACGTAGAGAGACGCAGCTCGCTGTCGGCTCATCGTGTTTTGTTTTATGATCGATTGCTACTGCCGTCCATTTGGTCCTCATCTGAAGAGGGGGAGACCCTTGGCTCTGGCCAGCCGGCCTCCGCGAGCTCGGCATAGACCGTAGAATTGTCCGGCTCTTGTCGGCTCTGGCCTAGATGTGAACGTGACTCGTCCAGCTTTGCACGGCGTCGTGTTGTGTAGCGTCGTGCTGGATCGTGCGGCTGCAGAGAGTGGAGGGTGCCACCGTCAAATTGTGACCCCCAGGAGAAGAGTGATACGCCCGATTAATTATTAAGTAGACGTGTAATGACTCGTCGATTAAAATAGATTCATATGCTCACAGCACACGCTTAAAATTGCACACCTCAGAATTTATTGTTTACAATTTATGATAATTATATACTCATATCAGCGTGTAGTAATTGAAACAACGAGACGAAAAATATGCGGTAGACTATTAACAGAACAACGGTAAGAACGGGACAAAACAAAATTAATTCTTTACTTGAATCGTGACAGTATTCATTGGATCACCATGAAGGTGAATTGCCACGTGTCCTTTCTAGATTTGAAGTTTTCGTGACTGCAAGGGTCCATACTCTTTGGTTTTTTCGATCAAGTCACGTAGGTAAAAAATAAAATAAATAAAATCACGACGTTTCGGAGGCAACACAAGCCTCCGTCTTCAGGTGGCACCGTCACAGCAAAATTGCTGTATCAAGTGGGGAGAACTCTAAGAGACACGAGACTATGTCACATGTCCGTCACTCGGTGTTGAGCCGTGTGGTGACGAGACCAGGTGAGTAAGCTGTGCGATTTATTGCGGAATTGTGGGACTTAGGCGAGGGGGGGGGGGCTTATTGATATATATTTTTTTACCAGCGAGCCAAGGTAATGACAGGTGATTTGAGGTGCGTGTTGCTTTGGGGGCCCATGTTGAGTTACCAAGGGGGCATATGGACGGTTGCCCCCTTTCCAAAATCTTTGGGGTGCGAAGCTGCCCCCTGTGACCTATGGTCTCACAGCCATGACATGCAAGCCTGCTGATTATAGTTGACACGTAGCACACTCTTAATATGGTTGATAGGGTTAATATGACACTTTTCCTCCACGATGGCAGGGCTATAATTGGCATGGGTCCTCGTGGGAAGGAGAATTAAATGCCCGCCCTCTTAATTTGTAGCATGGCAGATCGCCCCTCTGGTCCGTGGGCACTGGTAGCTTCGCCACTGATGGTCACCCCACTTACGAACACGGCGGTTTGGATGTGGGCCACACGGCAGGACGGATGGCTGGAGCAAAACACTCGTCGGCTTTGGAGAGGGATAGCTGATCAGTGGCAGTTCAGGCGAAGTACTCTAAGATTGCATCTGTGCTGTATGTGTTTGTGTGCATTGGGGGGCTAGTACAATGTGGTAGCGCACTGCGCTACGAACCCGGTGACTTGTTTAATTCCCAGCTGTGGCTAACGGTGATAAGTGTATAATGCAGTCCTGGTCCTCCCCTAGATAGACTCGGCCTTAAATGAGTACAGTACCTAGTTTTGTGTGTAAATATAAACACTGGGGAGACAAAAACTCAATAATGAGGCTGCCCACACTACTCCCTCGTGTGCCGAGGTTACCTTAATAGGTGATCGCTAACAGCGCTTACCCCAATAGCCGATAAGGCTATGCGGGGGTATTTTGTGTGTGTGTGAGCAGGTTTGCTTGTGAGTTCATGGCATGTTACAAAAGAATGAGTGATGCGGAGTATGCGTGGCTGTGTAGTGTGCCCTTTGGTTATCTGTATGAACGTGCCTTGTCATTGTACGTGGGGAACTTTCACACCTCCGATTAGCACGGTTGGCTACGCAGAAGTTGTACGTACATAGATACAACTTGTTGAAGCCGATGCATCTCCCAGTAAATCCCAGGTAGTTAACCCATTACATCTGGTTCCGGCCCATCGCCTGCCACCTAACCCTGGCGCAGAACTGCTGTGGTGATGCCACTCGGTGGCGAATGGTGGCCGTTGTACATGCATGTGGTACACTCTTCATAACACCTGGTTCCGACCTATCACCTGCACCTAACCTGGCACACAGCTGCTGTGGTGATGCCACCCGGTGGCGAATGGTGGCTGTTGGAGATGCATGTGGTGCGCGCTTCACCTGGAATTGCGTCGGATCTCGGAAGCTCAGCAGGTTTGTGCCCGGATACCGCTTCTTGGGTCGATGACCACCGAGCACAAATCGGGTGTCATGGGGCTTGCGGGTCGGTGCTTGGCAGTAAAAGAGCGCAGTGCTTCCGTTCTTACACTCGCCAATCTTCCCGGCCTTATCCGACCACTGCCCAGCATGGTCAGGTATTGTCAAGTGACCCCACGACCCGCCCAGGTGTGGTGGAGGCCCTCATCCAAAAGTGGATTGATAACAAGGGCTCTTTATGTATGGTATGTATATACTAATGTATGAATGTGCATCTGTCAGGGTCTGTGACGATGGGCCAGTCCAAAGTTCGCAGAATTATTACATTCACAACGATATCAATCCTCTTCTTGGTTCTTTCGGTAAAGTCACGTAGAATGGAAATAATACAATAATAAAAATTTAACATAAAATATTCTCGCAATGTTTCGGCCACAACGCAAGCAGCCGTCCTCAGGTGGAGAGCAGGTCTGTCGAGTAGACAGAGTCTGACAGACCTGCTCTCCACCTGAGGACGGCTGCTTGCGTTGTGGCCGAAACGTCGTGAGAATTATTTTATTATGTTTTATTTTTATTATTTCCATTCTACGTGACTTTACCGAAAGAACCAAGAAGATGAATCCCTACAGTCACGAAAGCTTTAAATCGAAAGATATCAATCGTCATCGATGTGTCGGCTTTCAGTTTCCGACCGGCTCAGCGGCGGCAGGGTGATCGGCTCGCGCTTGCAGAAGGTTGCGAGTTCAACTCTGACTCTGTTGGTTGACTCAGCCCCACGGCGTATTGGCAGCCACTTACACCCCCCCCCCCCGGGTCGGCGTGCATCACACGGCACCCGCGGTCTCGTCGCGTTGTGCTGGTGTAACGTGCGGGAGTAAGGGCGATTTCACCGGTTTAGCGCAAAAAAAAAACATTTGTAAGAGTCGCTGCTGTTTCTCCACGACTCAATTGCACGCTGCCTCCCAAGCTCGTAATAGGCATGTCCTCCTCGTGCGATTGCCCCCCCGCCAAAGGCATGCGCCCACAACAGCTGGCATGGGCGATAGAGCAAGGAATAAAATGGGGGGGGGGGGCGGTGCCAATTTCCATTCCTCTTCGTAGCCCAGCGTCTGGGCCCCCTTGGCGCAGTTGCACCGCCTGCACGCGCCACACCCCCAAATTAGCACGGTTGGTTACGTACGGTGCGAAAGAAGTTCAGCATACAGCTGTGACTCAAAGCAAATTCTATATTCATCACCCCCCTTCAAGTTGTGATGAAATAATTCCGCAAACATTTTTACGCAATCTTGTATTTGTGTATGTGTGTGTATACGTGTGTGTTTGTATACGTGTGTGTGTGTTTGTAGGGGAGCGGTAGTGTAGCGGTTAGCGCGCTGCGCTATGAACCTGGCGACCCGGGTTCGATTCCCGCTCACGGCTAACACCAGTGACGATTATCTGAGCCGGTCCTGGGCCTCCCCTAGGTCGACTCAGGCTTAAATAAGTACCTGGTGCGGTGTGTAAACATCGCCACTGGGGAGACAAAGGCGGTCGGGCGTGGTGCTGGCCACCCACCCCCTCGTGTACCGTTCCGGCCTTCATAGGTGCTCGCTAACAGCACTTGCCCCTACAGTCTGTTAAGGCTCTACGGGGGGATCTTTGTGTGTTTGTATAGACGTGTGTTTCTATGAATCTGTGTATGAGCTATGACTACAGTTCGTGTGATTTTATGGGATGCATAAAGATGCAGACAATAAAATACCATTTATTTCAAGCTGATGGGAGTGCACTACTTAAACAAATTTAAAATAAAATTAAACAAACGTCCTTGTGTGGTTGAATCAATGCTGCTGAAACAATAAGAAATACTTCAATACGGTAGATTTTTCGTGGAGAGTGATTTTGACAGGGTGAAGGTGACGTCTGCTTATTTACCACGTAGCAGGTATGAAGCGATACAAACGTTATACTTTGAGGAGTTAATAAAGTATGATATATATTAACACCTTTGGTTCTTTCGGTAAAGTCACGTAGAAGGGAAATAATAAAATAACAAAAATATGAAACAACACAAGCAATCTGATGATGATTGCTTGTGTTGCAGTCGAAACGTGCGAATTTTAATTGTTTTATATTTTAGCTATTTTATTATTTCCCTTCTACGTGACTTTACCGAAAGAACCAAGAATATGAATCCCTGCAGTCACGAAAGCTTTAAACCTTTTAACACCTGTTGTATTGCCAGAAAGGGTAAAACCTCTTATTTTTCACACTTTTTAAGCTGGCAAAAAGGTTTTATGAGTTAAGTTTTTTTTAAAAGCACCCCTAACAACGCTCTCGTCTGCCTATTTGACTGCTTATTTTGATCCCGATCCGCCTTCAGTAACTGCCGTAGATGCCACACACTGGAGGACAAGCGCAAACTACAGCACTTAATTCTCGATTTGAAGTTTTCGTGACTGCAAGGATTCATACTCTGGGTTTTTTCGGTAAAGTCACGTAGGTAAAAAATAAATAAATGAAAAAACAACTCGATTTAATTAAGTTTTTTCATTTATTTATTTTTACCTACGGAACTACAGCACTTCTAGATTTGAAGCTTTCGTGTCTGCAAGGATTCATACTCTTAGGTTTTTTCGGTAAAGCTACGTAGGTAAAAATAACTCAATAATAAGATATACAAAATTAAAAAACATTTTTATTTATCTTATTGTTAAAATACATGTTTTTATTATGTATTTTTATTATTTATTCATTTTTACTTACGTGACTTTACCGAAACTACAGCACTGTCGTAAGCAGAAGTCTGTTGTGTATCCACATTCAAATTAAACACTTTGCCAAAAGCCCACGTGTGTGGAAATGTCATGGGGGGGTGTAACGCAGGCGAGCTCCGTGCCTAACCCACCCCCCTCCCCCATTACCTGCACAGGTGTGGGATAGGGCTTCATCCAGCAGTGGATTTTTAAATCCTTTATATTAAGTTCACTTGCTTGCTTGCTTAGGACCGTGCAAATCTTTCGGTCGTTTTTTAACCCACTTCCCGTGATCCAATCGAGCTGACATTTTCCACACAGACTCGTTGTGCGTGACAATTAATGTTCGTGAAATTTTTTTCCCCAAAATTTTACACTTTTTAGGAAAAAATTATATTTAATTACCAATTGCTTAATGGTGCAATGCAATCATCTGACCCATAGGTGGCAGCCATCTCAAGCCAGAGGACGAGAGGACTCTAGCCGCCACGCATATAAAGGATTTATAGTGAAAAACTTTGTTTTTACGGGTTATACTTGTTATACCCTCTGGTTTGTGCCTTATTCTCACCAGAACACATTGATTTGAAGCTTTCGTGACTGCAGGAATTCATACTCTTTGGGGGCGTCCATAAATGACGTCACGCACCTAGGCGGGGGGGGGGGGTCAGACATTTGTGACGATGGGGGGGGGGGGGGGGTGAGAAATGTGACGTCACATCAAAATGCGCAACTTTAAATAAATATAGACGACACGTTCTACTAAATTAAATAGACTTTTCAATAAATGTTTTCTCCTGCAACATCAGAGTGCAGCGCCACATTAAATACGCACTACAATGACAACAGTTTAAAGCGATTTGAAGCATGTTTTTTTTTTGGGGGGGCAGAGCTTTGTGACGTCATATTTGAGGGGGGGGGGTCTGACTTTCTGTGACGCCGTGTGACGGGGGGGGGGGTCAAATCGCGTGACGTCATTTATGGACGACCCATTTGTTTCTTTCGGTAAAGTCGCGTCGATACAAAACAAAATAAATCCACGACGTTTCGGGCGCAACACTTCTCGAGAGAACCAAAACTCTCGCAACACATTGTCGCGGTGCAATGTGGGAGGAGAGGGGGGCGGGGTGGTGGGTGGGAGAAGAGGACATGACGCAATAGCACGGGAAGTGACGTCATCCGATGAGTTTTTTCAACAATGACGTCACCTCATATTCCATACCACGTGGTGGTGGTGGAGGGAGTGTTCCTTAGGTTTCTTTCTCGCGTGGCTACCGCAGCGCTCACCCCAGGCCGTGTTTGCCGATCTTGAACCGTGAGGGTTTGTTCGAGAAATAAAAACTAAAAAGCCATCGACCGTAGCACGGGGCCGCCGCCGCCTCCACCGCCGCCGCCGCGATGTCGAGCTACAAGAAAGCGATGAAGTCCAACCAGCGAGAGCATCGCGAGCGTTCACAGGTGAGCAGAGGCGGGTGGCTCGGTCGGCCTCTCGTGGTGGCCGTGGCGACCACCACGACACCCCGAGCCCCTACACACTAACCAATACCCCCCAGCCCCTACACTCTAACCAATACCCCCTACACACTAACCAATACCCCCCAGCCCCTACACTCTAACCAATACCCCCTATACACTAACCCATACCCCCTAGCCCCTACACTCTAACCAATACCCCCCAGCCCCTACACTCTAACCAATACCCCCTATACACTAACCAATACCCCCCAGCCCCTACACTCTAACCAATACCCCCTACACACTAACCAATACCCTCCAGCCCCTACACACTAATACCCACTAGCCCCTACACACTAACCAATACCCCCTACACACTAACCAATACCCCCTACACACTAACCAATACCCCCTAGCCCCTACACACTAACCAATACCCCCCAGCCCCTACACACTCGGTACCACGACCTCCCCAGCTCACTACTCACCAAGTACCAGGACCCCCCCCCCCCCCCAGCTCACTACTCACTCAGTACCAGGACCCCCCCCCAGCCCACTACTCACTCAGTACCAGGACCCCCCCCCAGCCCACTACTCACTCAGTACCAGGACCCCCCCCCCCAGCTCACTACTCACTCAGTACCAGGACCCCCCTCAGCCCACTACTCACTCAGTACCAGGACCCCCCCCCAGCTCACTACTCACTCAGTACCAGGACCCCCCCCCCAGCTCACTACTCACTCAGTACCAGGACCCCCCCCCCCAGCCCACTACTCACTCAGTACCAGGACCCCCCCCCCCCAGCTCACTACTCACCAAGTACCAGGACTACCCCCCCAGCCCACTACTCACTCAGTACCAGGACCCCCCCCCCAGCTCACTACTCACTCAGTACCAGGACCCCCCCCCCCAGCTCACTACTCACTCAGTACCAGGACCCCCCCCCCAGCTCACTACTCACTCAGTACCAGGACCCCCCCCCCCAGCTCACTACTCACTCAGTACCAGGACCCCCCCCCCCCAGCTCACTACTCACTCAGTACCAGGACCCCCCCCCCCAGCTCACTACTCACTCAGTACCAGGACCCCCCCCCCAGCTCACTACTCACTCAGTACCAGGACCCCCCGCTCACTACTCACTCAGTACCAGGACCCCCCCCCAGCTCGCTACTCACTCAGTACCAGGATCCCCCCCCAGCTCACTACTCACTCAGTACCAGGACCCCCCCCCCCCCCCAGCTCACTACTCACTCAGTACCAGGACCCCCCCCCCCAGCTCACTACTCACCAAGTACCAGGACCCCCCCCCCCAGCTCACTACTCACTCCGTACCAGGACCCCCCCCCCAGCTCACTACTCACTCAGTACCAGGACCCCCCCCCCAGCTCACTACTCACTCAGTACCAGGACCCCCCCCCCCCCAGCTCACTACTCACTCAGTACCAGGACCCCCCCCCCCCAGCTCACTACTCACCAAGTACCAGGACCCCCCCCCCAGCTCACTACTCACTCAGTACCAGAACCCCCCCAGCTCACTACTCACTCAGTACCAGGACCCCCCCCCCCCCAGCTCACTACTCACTCAGTACCAGGACCCCCCCCCCCAGCTCACTACTCACTCAGTACCAGGACCCCCCTCCCGGCTCACTACTCACTCAGTACCAGGACCCCCCCCCCCAGCTCACTACTCACTCAGTACCAGGACCCCCCCCCCGCTCACTACTCACTCAGGACCCCCCCCCCAGCTCACTACTCACCAAGTACCAGGACCCCCCCCCCCCCGCTCACTACTCACCAAGTACCAGGACCCCCCCAGCTCGCTACTCACTCAGTACCAGGACCCCCCCAGCTCACTACTCAGTACCAGGACTACCCCCCCAGCTCGCTACTCACTAAGTACCAGGACCCCCTTCCCAGCTCACTACTCAGTACCAGGACTACCCCCCAGCTCACTACTCACTCAGTACCAGGACCCCCTTAGCTCCTCATCCTAGCCCCTAAACACAGCTCCCTACACGAGTCCCCAACTCACTCACCATGGCGGTCGCATTGTTAGTGCACACCATTTATTACGCTGTGCTACGAACCCGGCGACCCGAGTTCGATTCCCGCACACGGCCATCACCAGTGACGATTATCTGAACAGGTCCTGGGCCTTCCCTAGGTCGACTCGGCCTCAAATGAGTACCTGATGTGGTGTATAGTAAACATCGCCACTGGGGAGACAAAGGCGGCCGGGCGTGGTGCTGGCCACCCAAGCTCCCCGTGTACCGTGCCGGCCTTCATAGGTGCTCGCTAACAGCACTTGCCCCAACAGTCTGTTAAGGCTACACGGGTGATCTTTGTTTTTGTTCTGCAGCCTACGGCTCGCCGGGGGCTGGGCCTGTTGGAGAAAAAGAAGGATTACAAGCTGCGGGCTCAGTGAGTGACCCACCGGCCCTTCGCTCTCGCTCACCCCCCCTCACCACCCTCACCCACGTGCTGTGCTCTCCTTCCCACCACACGCTCCCCCACGCTCACCCACAGTGCATGTTTTGCTACCCACGCTACACACCACTCTCACCCATGCGCTGTGCTCTGTTCCCCACCCTACGCTCCCGCACACTGTTTGCTCTCTCCGCCATGCTCACCTACGCTCACACACACTTACCGACTCTGTGTGCTCTCTCCCTCACGCTCACCACACTGTGTTCACTCCCCCACACTCACCCACGCTTGGTGCTCTCTTCCCCCACCCCACACTCGCCCGCACTCACCCACGTTCTGTGCTTTCTTGTTCCCCTCCGAACCACAGAAACTGGCACCGCAAGCAGGACTTCCTGAAGGGGCTGCGTCGGAAGGCGCTCGACAAAAACCCCGATGAGTTCTACTTCAAGATGACGAGCACCAAGCTCAAGGTGCCTGTCTATCTGCGTGCGTGCGCATGTGTCTGTTAAGGCTATACGGGTGATCTTCTTTGTGCGTGCGTGTCTGCGCGCACGTGTGTACACGTGTGTGAGCACGTACACGTCTGTGTGTATCCACGTGTGTTGTGAAGCGGTGGCACTGTGGTTAGTACACTGCTGTACAAAGCCGGCAACCCGAGTTCGATTCCCGCTCACGGCCAATTGCAATGGTTCAATCCTGAAGCGGTCCTGGGCCTTCCCTAAGTCAACTCGGCAACTCAACAGAGTACACGGTGCAATGTGTAACCATCACCAATGGGAAGACAAAGGCTGCTGAGCTGGGCGTGGTACTTGCCATGCCACGCCCCCCGAAATAGGTGCGCCATGTCGGCATCCATGGGTGCTCGTTAACAGCCCTTGCCCCAAGCAGTCCGTTTGGCTATACGGTGGATCTCTGTCTTTGTGTGCCCGCAGGATGGTGTTCACTTAAAGAAGAATCCGGCCGACGAGGAGACGACACCTGACCAACTGAAGCTCATGAGGACCCGCGACCTGCGCTACGTGGAGATGAAGAGGGTGGCAGAGAGCAAGGTGAGACATGCGGAGTGGGGGGGGGGGTTGAGGAGAGCTCAGCTGCCCTCTTGCATCCCAGAGCGTCTCTCATCCGTGACGGATGCCGACCTGCGCCGCGCTGTTGTTGCGTTTCACGCAGAAAATCGAGCGGATGAAAGGGGAGCTGCACCTGCTGAACGCCAACGTAAAGCAGCAGAATCGTCACACGTTCTACGTGGACACCAAACGTGACGGTGAGAGTCGCGTCGGGACGGTGGGCGCGGTTGCTTAGCGCGGACTCGGCAATCGTGCTCAAAGTCGCGGGAACGCGAGCACGTTCTTTTTTTAATCTAGCAAAGTTATTCCAAGAACTTGGGAAAAGTGACAGAAAGGGAATTCCAAAGTACAGCAGTCTTTCATAGGGATTAATCGCAGCAGATTAAAGTTGTCATTTTAGATGTGTTGTCCACTCAATTGTCTGTTCAGAAGCGCGGGTAGATCTCGTTCCATTGCTCCTTTAAAGGAGTGCAGACAGCAGCAGCGACGGGAGTGTTTACGATGCGGTCGATGGTTTGGGATTCGTGGCCGCGCCAATCGCAGGCCGCCGAGTCTTTGATGGCGCCATTTGTGGCATCGGGTGGCCGCATCGACCACGTGGCCAGGTCCTGATTCGGTTGATGGTCGACCGTTGGTGGCGTGGAAGGTTGAAACCGGGAGGTTTGACGGTAGGGTCCTGTATGAGATGTTTATTTTTTACGTCGGCCGCAGGGAGGAAGCGGAAAGAAGCGTTTTGTGACGTGCAAGTGTGATGGTTGAGTTTGTGAATGAGGTAGGCGAGTGTTCGAGTGTGCTGACCGTGAACACGTTATGTATGCGGTGAAGCGGTCAGTTTGGTCTACCGGGCCCCCAACATGGGTGGAGGAATCATAGGGTGGAGTTCATTGGAACAGTTAAGCACGATTAAATACCTGGTGATTGAGTCACTGCGGTTGTTGTTGTTGTTGTTGGAGTAAATAAGTGAGTGTACTGGATCAACACTCACTGATTTATATTCTATCGGGTGCAGGGAGATCGGAACAGGGGCACTCCACCCCAAATACAACACCTCCTCGCATACTGCTGAGCAATGCGTGCACACACGGAGGCACACGGAAGTCGCGGCCTGTATCCACTCCTCGGTCTTATCAGAGATGTGGACGCCGTCGCTGCGAATCCCAAAGCGGGGTGTTTTGTGCCCGTCTGCCTCGATAGTGGAACAATTCAATCTGGCCGAGCGGCTTCAGACGGCGCCGGAGCTGGTGCGGTGCGTGTACAACCGGCCCAGGCTGGACACCCTGCGCACCGCCACCCTGCAGGGGGTCACCGACAAAAATACCATCAAGGTACGGCATTGGCGTGGGGCGGGGACACCAACGCACGCTTGAGCCCCTGTGGCCTCCCCTTCCCCCACCTTGTGTACGTCGCGTGTGGCCACGATGGACCTGCTTTGCTTGGTTTCACCGCGCTCTCACCGAGGTTATTCACGGCACCGTAAGAAGATGTCGTCCGAAGGATTAACAACAGTTTTCACTAACTATTTTATGATTGTTATATCAGATAAGGCCCACTGAGATTGATAACATCTCCAAAACTACTTCTGAAATCGCTTCAATCGGCCTTTTGATCGACACTCGGGTCACATTTCACATGCCCTGCAAATTAGTTTTCAGCACTTATCAGTCAAATGTATAATTCCGAAAGATGTAATATGTTGAACTAAGTTTTTTTTGTGTGTGCCTTTCATTGGTGACTAGACTCAGGCCATCAACTCGCAAACGCTGGAGAGAGAGTCCAGTTGAATAATAATAGTTTTTTTGTTTCTTCCTTCGTGCCGTGCCGACGTGTGAACGCAGAATCTGGCCCGCCAGCGCGCCCGTGAGTACCGCAACCTGGAGAAGAGGATCGTGCGCGAGTCCACGCTGTTCGTCACCCAGCAGAAGATCCAGACGAGAATGGACCTCGTGGTAACGCAGTCTCCCACAGCACGAGACAACTCCATACCGTGCCTTTTGGATTTGCATTCAGCTCTCCATTATCCGGCGTAATGGGAGGCCAGGCATGGCCCAAATGAAAAAGAACACACAATGCAAAGCATCGTATAAATTAGGCTATAAAGCAATAGATATTTGGTGACCGATCGTAAAAATAACTTTATTTTAAATTCTCAGAACTGGAATTTAGTAAAAAAAATTTTTTACACGGTCATTGATGACCGGGCTGAGACTCTGCTTTGCTTGAGAACCCCCGTTAAGTCACTGGCGGCTAAAAAACCCGGACTCGAAGCCAGGATCTCAGTGGGTTTCTGGCTCGGCGCTCTGACATCTGAGCTACCCGGCCACCTCTCAAGACCGACGCCCGACACGAACGGCACGTCGGCGATCGCGCCGCCTGCGCCAGCTCGCGGAGAATTGCTGGCGCTCACCATCGGTGCCGCGTGTCTTTGCTCTTCCAGGACAAGCGGCAGAGAATCAAGGTGAAGGCGGAGACCAAGACGTCCGCGGCCGTGTACTGCTTCAAGACCGAGCGCAAGCGCTGACATCGCCAGTGCGGTTTGCTCAGCAGCAGCCATCTGCGAGCCACGACCCCGGCCGTGTAGCCGCGACCATGTTTAAACTGGGGCGGGGGGGGGCATGACACAGTCAATGTTAGATAAAACTTAAATAAATGTTTGATGCTATGATCTGCTTTTGTCCATTGTGTATTCTAGCCTTGCTCGCTCATCCCCCTGTCGTATTTAGCCCTTGAACTGTTGGCCCAAAAAATGGCTTATTGGTACCAATCAGCGTGGCAACTGCTAACAATTATTTTTTATGAAGCAATTTATCTCCGGCTCACAAATATTTCCAACAGTGTAATGACGACTTCGACGCACTTGTCTTGAGATGTTTTCTTTAATTAAGGAGCCACGTGCTCAGACGAGAACAAGCGGAGACCCCCACTGCAACAGCCCCGAGTCTCCCGCGCATCTCCCTTATATCCGGTCCGAGGCCACGCCCCCATTCCCAAACCACCTCGCTAGTTCTCGGCCACTCGCTCTACCGGCAGACTCTACCGTCCTCTTCCGTCACCTGGCCACGCTCCTATTCTCGATCATTCCCGTTACCACCAGTGCATTCGTACTGCAGGCTGACTCTCCTGCCATTACCTCCCGTGGCCACTAGTCCGCTCACACTGTAGGCTGACTCTCCTGCCATTACCTCCCGTGGCCACTAGTTCTCTCACACTGTAGGCTGACTCTCCTGCCATTACCTCCCGTGGCCACTAGTCCGCTCACACTGTAGGCTGACTCTCCTGCCATTACCTCCCGTGACCACTAGTCCGCTCACACTGTAGGCTGACTCTCCTGCCATTACCTCCCGTGGCCACTAGTCCGCTCACACCGTCGGTGGACTAGACTGTCATTACAATAGCATGGTCATTGTCATTTCAGAAATAACTTTGTGTGGATACTGCCAATGGCGGATACTCGTAGAATGTTTCCACTCATAGAATGTTTCCACTCCCGGTGGTACTGACAAATACGCTTGGCTCGTGGGCTATCGTGTATGTGAGGAATCGCTGTGTGTGACACACTGCTCAATTGTAATACTTTATGCATTTTGTCCAGCCCCCTCCAACTATTGCAGACATCACACGAAGTTTTCAAATTAAAAGTATTACCGCAACAGATCAGTCTGTGTGCGAGCGGTTAGCACAGCTGCAAAGAGCTCATTGAACTACGTAACAATGTGTCCAACATCAATTGTATTGGTAAAACCACCCTGGTATGACATCCATAAAGGCGGCCTTACCGTGGAATTTGGATAGGTGGGTTACGAATGTATCAAATATTCAACAAAACTCATATGAATTGTCTTACAATTTTTTTTAATGTGCTCATTGTTGATGGGGCTGAGACCATCAAATCGCTTATGCCTGAGAACCCCGATTTAATCACCGGTGGCTGTAACCTGGATTGGAACCCAGGACGTCTGCGGTGCCGGCTAGACACTGACCTCTTGAGCCACGCGGCTCCCTGAGGGACGGTCGCCTGAAACGACGAACTGCACACTGGCCACTCCTCCGCCTGTGCCGCTCGCGGACACTGGAGTTCACCGTCGGTGCAACCACGACTTTCACCGCAAACCAAGCCTGCTTGGTCATCACAACTGTCGCACTGAGACGGCTTGTGCCGGAGATTTGTGGCAGGTGCTGGTGATGCTGCATTTTACCGATCCACTTCGTTTCTCCACAGCCCCCCCCCCCCCCCCCATCTATTCTGATTTGTAGGAAGCGTGTGCCGTGCTGTTAAACATTCCTGCGGAGGGAGCTGATAGGAACGTTGGGATGCTCGGTCAATGGCCAGGGTCAACGGCGGCGTGGTGTATTCCGCAAATATAGTGGACTGTGAGGGCGGGCACAAGCCGGCGTGAGTGGGTTAAACGTTGAGTTTTATAAGGGCACCACGGGGTGACCAGCCCCTCCCCACCCAGCCCCACCCCTCCCACCACCCAGCCCCAGCCAGCCCCTCCCCACCCCACCCAGCCCCTCCCCTCTCCACCCAGCCCCACCCCTTCCATTTTTGGATGCACGACGGACGGACACAATAATCCCCTGTGGGCTGGTGGAACCAGGTGGTTCCTACCAGTATAATCATATTCTGTGCGGTCCCAAACATTGTATTATTAGAACATTGCAATAAAGCAAACGTCCATTTCCGCATCAGCCGAGATTGTGTGTTTTCTCATTTGTTGAGCCGGAGAATACTTTAAGCCGAGTCTGTCTGGGTTAGCAACCCAGATAAGAAAATCCACACCCAGAAACGCCACATCCACCGTGCCTCTAGCTATAAATTGTGGTGACGACGAGTCTCGTGCATATCAACATAATACACGAGCATTCCACACGTAGTGACTAATCCCATATCTGCATTTACCATAAATATGCTAAATACCTCCGTTGATATGCAAATTCCTTTGTCAAGGCGCCCTCCTCTAACCCAGCTTAAATATACGCTGCCAAGCTTGGTGGTGTTCATTCAGACGCTGTCTTTCCGACAGACCTGTTCTTGACCTGAGGACGGCTGCTTGCGTTGTGGCCGAAACGTCGTGAGAATTGTATTTTATTATGTTTTATTTTTATTATTTTATTTCCCTTCTACGTGACTTTACCGAAAGAACCAAGAATATGATCCCTTGTACAAAGGTGTCAGTTTTTGTACCAGTTGAACGGGTAAAAACCTTTACACTATGAGACCTCCTTTACCAGTGGCAAAATATAGTAGTAGGTTTTTACCCTTTAAACTGGTACAAAACTGAGACCTTTATACAAGGCATCATGTTTGCAATAACCGCAACACAAGTAGTCAAAATGCAAACAAAAAGAAACAACTCTGATAATGGTAATCATCTGGTCCAACACCAATGGAGACTAGGCTCTAAGGAAAGCTGTCTCGGGTGTGGACCAATCAACTTCAAGGTACAGTGCATATCATCATTATCATCATCAGAGTTGTTTCTTTTTCGATTTAAAGCTTTCGTGACTGCAGGGATTCATCTTCTTGGTTCTTTCGGTAAAGTCACGTAGAAGGGAAGTAATAAAATAATAAAAATAAAACATAATAAAATAAAATAATTCTCACGACGCTTGCGTTGTAGCCGAAAGGTCGTGAGAATTATTTTATTTTGTTTTATTTTTATTATTTTATTACTTCCCTTCTATGTGACTTTACCGAAAGAACCAAGAAGTTGTTTCTTTTTGTTTGCATTTTGACTGCTTGTGTTGCGGTTATTGCAAACATGATGCCTTGTATAAAGGTGTCAGTTTTGTACCAGTTTAAAGGGTAAAAACCTATTTCTCCACGTGATGTTATTCCGGATGTGACGTAGCGCACGTGGCCTCTCGCGCCGCGCGCGGGAAACCTCCACTTCCGGGTGAGCCTCTCCGTGTGCGAGGCTCGTCGCGGGCTTCCTCACAACAACTCGCATCACCTCCCCTCCCCGCGTCGTCGCTTGAGAGGAAAACTCACCAACTACACCACACCTCATCCCCCTGTGAGGTGAGCTACCGAATCTCTGGTGTGTCCGCGATGGAGACAACTCACTTGCTGAGGCGGCATCGCGCGCACTGCGCGCGAACAAAAAAAATTCGGCGGTTCAAGAGTTGCGATTCTCCTCGGCTGACGGCCGAACAACGGTGACGATTCTATCTCGTAAACGTCCACGGGCCTCTCCCCTAGGTCGACTCGACCTCAAGTTAGTGCGTTGTGTGTCAACGTCGCCACTGGGGGGACGGGGGGGGGGAGAGACAAAGGCGGACGGTCGTGGTGCCGGCCACCGTCACCCGCTTCGTGTTTACCGTCGCCGGCCTTCAGCACTTGCCCCAACAGTCTGTTAGAGGCTACGCGGGGGATCTTTGCCTTTGTAAAACTCACCACCACCTCCTGTGAGGTGAGCAACTTTCTGTGGAGTCGGGACGCCGACTCTGTCGCTTCTTCACACGGGAGCCGCTCTCGATCCGTCAGCCGCTCTCGTGCCAGACCCGTTTTGAATGCCACTTATAATGTGGCAAATGTGCCGCTTTCGCCGTGCTGCCTGCTACGGTGCTGTGAATACTTGCTGCCTACAAAGTAGCGAGTTGGGATGTGTACTAGTTGGGTTGTATCGCTTTAAGTGTACTCCGTGAGATGCATTTTTAGTGTACCTTATTGCAATGCTTGGAACGTACTGCTCCATTAACGCCCTTTGGCTTATGCCACTTAGTCTATTAACGTCACATCTGGCGTTATTTATATTATGGAGTCGAGCGTTATTTACGCTATAATACTGCATTCTTGCACGTCCTCTACTTGAACATACGCTGCTACATTGGGTAGCCCTGCTGACATGCCGTATAACATACTGTACAGTGTACAGTACGGGCACATATGCAGCGTTTCGTTTATGGAGTTTTCAAAATGCTGTTGGGTCAAGTGATTTAGCATCGAGTACCTATGTAGACACACGAGGTAGTGATGTAACCAGCGCCACGCACGGCCGCCTCTGTCTCCCCAAAAGCATCAGCTTTACACGCCGCAGAAAAGTACAAATTTTCAGACCACGTCGACCTAGGACCGAGCACAGGACCGGTTCACGTGTTTGCCACTTGCTGGTCGTGAGCGGGACTCAAACTCAGGTCGCCGGGTTTGTAGTGCAGTGCGCTAACCACTCTGTAGTGTACACAAGCAGAGGTTGACTCTTTGCCACGAAGCTTGAACCTGGATAACGAAGCAGCCACCGGCCTAAAACTGTTGTCGTCGGCTCCTGCGTTGCCACGTCGTGAGCAGATGGCATTGCAGCCGAATCCATTGTTCTACTGGACTATTTTCCAACATCTGTGCTCCCTTACTTTACCAACCCGCACTGACCAGCGTGGTGAAGTATGGTCAAATAACCCCCACGATCCGTGCGGTTTGGGTAGGCCCTTATCTCATTGTGGATTGACAAGGCAAGCATTGAGCAATGTGGAGGGGATGTTATTGGTGAATTGCTCCTTCTGCTGTACTCACCATTATTATTAACTCTTTCCATTTTGCTTCTTCGTTACATCAGGCACCTTCAAATGCCACCGCCTCTGTAATCATGGAGGAGGATGACGTTGATTTTGATGGAAAGCCTGGGCAGTCCATCCCAGTGGAAGGTAAGAGGTGCTCTCGTAATTATTTTCACAAGTAAAGTTTTCCCGCAATGGTGTGGTTTGTATGTATGTATGTTGAACTTCTTTCGCACCGTGCGTAGCCAACCGTGTCAATCGGAGGTGCGGGGGAAGCACAACAAACTAAACATAAAAATCAGTTCTAAAGGAATGAGTTTGTTAATCTAAATAATGATTTAAAAGTGCATAGCTCTGGTGGCTTCCTAATATCGGAAGGAAGATTGTTCCAGACGGCCGCAGGAGCGCGTCTGAAAGTGCGTAATGCGGTGACCGTCTTTGTTCAGTGGCCAGCCAAAAGCCGCTGCGAGGATGACTGGAGTTCGTGTAAAAGTGTATGCTCCTTGACGATATCAGAAAGGTACAGTAAACCTTGGATTGCGAGCATAATTCGTTCTGGAAAACGTGAACGTAATACTAAGCACTCGTATATCAAAGCGAATTTCCCCGATAAGAAATAATGGAATTTCAGATGATTCGTTCCACAACCCAAAAATACTCTATTCATATAAAAATGATTAATACAAAATACCTTTTTATATTTTTATTATTTAAATTTAATAAAAAGTAATCAAATTTATTAACTAAATTTAATCGTGGCTGGTGTGAGGGTGACGAGAGAGAGCTGAGGAGGGTTATTGTGCAGGACGACTTTCACTTGCAGTACAGTTACTAAAGAACAGTCACTACACTTGGACACAAAATAAAAAAATGTTTTACGCACACACTCGTGGTCACAACACTATAGTAAACAGTGTACGCTCGCACGGATGTTGACTATACGAGTGAGGCACGCCGACTGAGACCGAGCATGGGAGACGATTACCCACAATCCCGCAGCGAGAGAGAGAGAGAAGAACCATCGGCTCAGTTGTGATCACGTGACGCTCGGCAGACAAAGCGTATACTGTACGTACTACAGTACTCGTATTGCAAGACCTCGCTCGTTTATCAAATTAATTTTTTTAAATTTCTCGTCTTGCAAAACACTCGCAGACCAAGTTATTCGCAATCCAAGGTTTTACTGTATTGTGCTTTATTTGTGGCAAGCACTTTTGCGTGTGATCAGTGTGATCATTGTGTTGGTTTCTGCATTTTTGCGAGAATCTTTAGTGCCACTCTCACCGTTTGAACTTACCTCGCTTTGCTCACTGATGACGTTTGTGTGAATCTGTGTGGAGACTGCAAGGCTGTGGACATGTCCGAGGACTCGGTGGACATTTACGAGGACCTGGCCAGCAGTCCCGTACCGTTCGAACACGGTGAGATTCGCCATCTTCACCGTCCCCGCTACTTCTCGGGTGTTGCTGGCACAGCGCAAAAGTGTGATGGTGCATTGAAGATATTGATGCATTGACGGCTCGCACTCGTCGGACACGTCATACACTCTGATAACCAACTCCTGCTCATGACGTCTGAAAGCTCGCTGTTGATAATGTCTGGCCAAGCAGATGTCGTGGGGGTTAGCCAGGACGCTCACTCACTGGCCACCTCTCGTTGGAACCATATCTCACCTGTGCTCATATCTCTTCATTGGCTGCCAGTTCAAACCTGCATTGAGTTTCAGATTACACTGGTCAACAAAAAAAAACATTTTTTTCTGGCCTGGACTTTTGCAGCTGTTTTAGACTAATTTCAGGGTGCTGATTCAAAATCTGATCTCAGATTTGCTCTATCACATCGATTTTTATGCTATCGGCATACCCCATTTTCATTGATTTTGGTGGTTTTGTTGGTGGTTGTTTTGCCATTTGTAATGCCTTTTTGAATCACTTTCTAAAACAAGCTGTAAACATGATATATTTGATGTTGCTGAAATAACGGAATTTTGTTAAGAAAATGGGTATAAAACCTGGTATCCCACCTCTGGAATTTTGTAATTGTGCGTTTAAGTTGCTGTTTGCTAACATTATTTGTGAAACCGTTGTAAAGTAACCTGTTTCTACCAAGGTGAGGGAGGAGTTGCGTTTGATCTGTTGGAAGAGCTCCTTATCGAAGAAACAAGCCTGAAAGTGAGAACCCATGAAGAGGTGAAT